TATACTTGTTTAGACTTCTTAGATGCATACTCATTTACCTGGCCAAATTCAAAGGTGAGGCTGAATTCTTAGTACTTGGATAAACTTACTTTATCTCAGATTTCCTCCTGCTCAATCTATTTAACAACTGCAGAGCCACTGTTTCAGAATGTAATAGAATCCACATTAGCAAGGATGTCTACACTTGATTATGATACATCTGTAAGTTTTACTACAGTATTGTAGATTTGTTCAGATCTAAACCGTCTACAATGTGTAATTTATGCTTACTCCCCTTTACAGATCATGAGGGTTAAGGACAAGCTGTGAGGCTGATACATAGATGCAGGGAATCGTAAAGCGTGCCAAAGACAGGTTTCAATAAACTAAAAAGCAGTAGGAGCATGTTTATAAAGCTATTCTGACACCTAAAACACCCAGGTGTATCTAGTGGGATTTGCAAACAGAACTAAGCAGGTCAGCCGCCAAACTCCAGCTGACAATCAGTACAAGTTAGGCTCCAGACGCAAAAAGAGGTTCACATGTTTGGATGCTAAGCATTATGAAGTCCAGAAGTCAGGCACCAACTGTGGACTCAAAAACCTTAGCCAGAATATATAACACACACAAACAGAAGAAGCTACAGAAAGTGAACAAGAAACACTGACGAGGAATGCACTTGAAATTCTCCCTCTCTTCTGGGCATAGCACCTCTCCAAGAAGAAATGCACCACCTAAAAATCCTTCCCTGTATGTAGGAATGTACGCATGCATGCATTGTCATCTGGGCCACAGATAATGGCCACGGAGAGAGGTCGCTGCCCTCCTTTTACAGAGTGGCCTCGTAGTTAGAGAAGTCGGCTTAGATACGGGCCTTTCTTCAACCTGAGTCAAACATAATACAGTATGTATTTATTTGACAAGGCAGGGGAATAGTACTCTTTCAGATGAGATGGTATTGCCCATCAGCATATTTTTTTTTCACACAGAATTCACAGTCATTGGTTGACCATAGCAGTGACCAAGCACTGAGTTAGAGCGATAGAAACATCACTGCTGCTTCAGCCAGAATCTGTTGGCCACCGAGCTGAGCAAAGCGCAGCAGAGCCATGTTATCAACACAGGAGCCGTGTAAGCTGCACGCCTTGCCCAGCTTACGTGACATAAGAACATGCCTACCCGCCGTGCCGGCATACATCCACAGTCAGTCCTGAGGCAAAACAGGACTGTAGATGAGGGGAGATATGAAAAACTGCTGAACAGCCCCACAATGTCTCCCTTGTTCTGGAAGCCTGCACTGGGCTGCTGGCTATGTCAGATGGGTAGAAACTCAGGGCTGGAGAGCTGCTGCACTATGATGGCAATGCATGAGCTTCCAGTGCTAAAATTTCCCATCTCCTCCCAAATATCCCTGCCTGAAACATGATAGAGGTTAAAGCAGTATGGGAAGTCATCATTTCTCAGCCAGATATTATCAGTGGTCATTTGCGAATTTGGAAAGGTTAGCTTAAATTGTTATCATATACCACTGAAGGCAATTTAAAATAACTTGTTTTACCTTGCATTGCAACCGGTTAAGGGCACACACACAGCGAGCTGTTGTGCCACAGCTGAGGGGCAACAGCTCTTACCTTTCTCTTACTCAATCGCTTATAAATGGCTGAACATATTTCCAGTTTAAATCCCTGTGGCAGTCTGACCCTGAGAGGACCAAACCTGGGCCTCAAAACACAGGCTTTGGATGAAATAATTATTCAAGTCTGTTCTTGATTCCAGGCATAACTATTTTCAAGACAGGTCTGAGGTCCATTGATGACCCAGTGTTTGGGTACTGAGGCTGTACCTGTGGACTTCATTTCTCAGAGCTTTATGGCTAGAGATATACTAATATGAACTACAGATTTTAATTTAAGATTTTAAATTAGCAAGGATGCTTATTGCTTCAGATATTCAGAGGACTTTATCTTTAACTGAATTTATAAAAAGAAGTGGTCAGCAAGTCCAAGTCACATGAGAAACTTGGCTGAGAAGTCCAAAGGCTGAAGTACAAATTCTTCCTTCATGTTTCCTTTGACATACTTTGCCTTTTCTCAGTTGACAGCAGTGAAGCTTCACTGAAAATCTGCCCTCTAGGCCAGTTTTCCATTAATTTCTATTCCCATATACTTCAAAGTGTGAATTCTCTAAGGACAACCCAAGCATCTGAATAACTATTTAGTTCCTTTCAGCCTTTTTTTACACTGAGACACAAATTTGCAAGTCCTTTAATATTCAGTCACTTATTGTGTGTCTGCAACATCTGTAACAGAGCATTGAAGCTTCCAGGAGCAGACAGTTTACCTTATGGCAAATTCCAAGGCAGTATTTAAAGTTCAAATGAAATTCCAGTATTCAAAGTGGGAGGTTTAAGAAAAAAAAAACAAGTCCTAGGTCTGTCAGTGAAAAGTTTAATTATGGACAAGATGACACATACACAGTAAAGCCCACAAAGGCAGCAACACCGCTGTGGAAGCACATTCCAATAAAATCTTAAAAGATTACTTTAATAATAAACCATGCATTCTTGAGCAAGCCATTGCAGGATTAGCTACCACATTGCTTTGCTGCAAGCAGATTTTTCACAAACTGTTATTGATACTGCTTTTAAGGGACTCATGTTTCTAAAGTTAAAGTTGATGTCTTCTGAAGGTCTCTGCACTTCAATGTTTTTATTTCATTCTGCTACCCCAGTTTCCACCCAGACTGGAATCCCAGTGATCCTAGTGACAGACTGTGGTTTCAGCAGAGTTAACATCCGGAAAAGTAATAGAAAAACTCACTGAGGTGAAGCTTTCCAGCTGCAACTGTGAGATAATTTTAGACCTGCTGAAAAATGACTTGTGTTTGTGAAGCGCTGAGACTGATATTGTTCTGCACAATAAGCAGTTAACGTAAAAAAAAAAAAAACTTGGGTAGGGCACTGAACCTATGCCAGCAATAGTAAGATCAGACACAACAAATTTGAGAAAAAAAACTCATCATCCTGGAAAACATAGCACTCTCTCTGCTGTAATCTTTTAATAGTCACGCTTAAAGTCATAACAGTCACTGCCAATTTGATTCTGCTTTTACTGCAGTGAAATAAAAATGCTTTTACTTTTCATAAAGCATAAAGTATGCGCTTTAATTCTTTAATTTTTTCAGTGTAGTATAGAAGAAATAACTGAATTCCTGTGGGACTTTCCGCCTAGATTCCTCCTACCTTTAAAAAACAATCCCATTACATATGTTTAATGTAACATTTCTGAATTTTAGCATTTGGCCTAACAATGGGGGACATCAGGGGAGCTGTTTAGTTGAATTACAAAATAGATAGTGTAGTTCCTTAAGGCTTGAGAAGTTTTTTACCCTCTAAGAAAGCTGTAATGTTTTCCAGCTAGTTATTAACCATTTGTTAGTAATATAGTTTTTTTCCACAGAATATTAGTGATATCCCAAGTGCTCATAGATAGTGAAGTGCCTCTTGATATTTCTACACTAAATGTAGTTTTCATTGCACCTCCACAGGGCTGTTAAACTGTTCTCTGTTGACAAGTGAAAAGCATGTTCAATCTTCTAAAATTAAAAAATAAATAGTATAAATCATATATGTAACCATCACTGCCGCTAGTCAAGTACTTCAGAGAAAAGTGCCTAGGCTTTGTGTTAGGCAAAGCACAAATATTAATCGTGCTTACGCCAGCAACGGGCTGGACAGCTTTGAAATTGCTTTGTTACTACACCGTGCTTTAACGAGGCACAATCTCATCCTTTATTTTAGGCAGTCTGTTTAACTCACCTCCAAAAAGTACGCTGAGCCAGGTATTATTCTTTAAAATATATTCTGCCTCAGAACCAAGAAGTTCCAGTCCTGCAGGAAGGTCTTTAGTGCAAGGTATACAAAACAATGTAAAGTGCAATGCAAGCTCTACAAAACCAAAAATGTTAATCACGAATACAACAGTATTACAAATACTGACATGCGCTTAGCCAGCAATCTGTTAGTTGCAGCAAATACCTCTATACCTATGTAGCATGTACTTCCTTTTATGTCTACTAGGCTGATGTGTAAAAATATGTCTCTCGTGAAGCCATTTTGGTTAAATTTAGCACTTCTGAAACGAAAGACTGGAACAGGCAAATGAGTCACAACTATCAGCTTTTGCAACTATCGGCTTTTAGTCCCCTCACGAGCGAGGCTCCTACTGCTTTTGCTATTCCAGGCCTCAGTAGTCTGCCACAAAAAACGTGTACCACACCACAGGAAGAGAAGTATCATGTCATTCGGTAGGTTTGGATGTGACTGACTACCAAATGCATCCACTGGTTTTGAACTCGCAACTTTCTCACAGTGAAAACATTTTGTATTAAATATTTTTCCCTTACTTAAATACTTAAAAATGTATGCCAACGGTATTACAACTGAAGGAAAAAATGTTACTCCTGTCTCTCTTTTTACATTAGGTATCACTGTAGAGGGCAATATCACAGTTTTGAACAGAAATATTTTGGACTGTTATGAGAAAATAAATGTTAGGCTAAGTTTACAGCCTTGAAAAATAAGAAGTTCTGCTACAAGGACAAAAATGTGATTTTTTATCAGACGCTCTTTCATACCAGTTGGAAAACAGCTGTACAGCACTGGGAAACAAAACACGATAGATGTTTGAATAAAGATGAGTGGGAAGTACAAAGGTCAGGTCTGGATGTGACCCAGAACCTGAATTGCACCCACCCGATATTTTGGTTCAGCCAGCCACAGATTTGGGGGAGAGGGGGTGGTGTTTTGGTTTTGGTGTTTTTGCAAAAAACAGCTCTTCGCCTGGGCTTGCATTTTTTAACACCATCACCACATCCACGTTTATACAGACGAGTACACCCAGACACATGGGGGGGCCATGGTCTTAAGAGAGCGTTTCAGGCCCCTCTCCTCCGCAGGAGGAGCCGGAGCCGCGGCTCGGAAGGGGGTAAGGTTGTGAGCACCGACACGTTGAGGGGGAGTAGCAAAGACCAAGCAGCAAAAACATCATAGCACATTCCTGGGTAGTCCTCAGCTGCCAGCATCTGATTAAAACCATATCTCTCGCTGTGAGTGGCTAAATAATCTGAAGGCGAGAGTACAACTGAATATTTAACCGGGCCCTCGCTCCCAGCCAGGCTACCGGCTGCAGTCGTCGGATCATGCACGCCGCGGCACGGATCTAGCCCGTAAGGCCGAGCTGCAGCTCCGTCTAACTCGGCCGCCCGGTCTCCCCGGGAGCCCTGCTCCTAAGGCCCTCGTTAGGCTGCGCTTCATCCCTCGAAGCAGTAAGATTTGCGGCTTTGGCAATGCTGGGCCGGGGGCAGCAGCCTGTAAACGCTTGGAGCCCGCTGGGAGCTGCTCTGCCCCAGCAGCCTGGGCTCTGCTGGCCGCGGTAGAAGGAGTGCGGTGGAGAGAGCAGAGATCGGTAGTGTTCTCCGTGCCTGAGCGGGCAACGTGTCCTGGCTGAGATGGGGTGGAAACTGCCTGCATCCTGCTCTGGGCTCTAACAGGGCCGGATCCCTGAGGAAGCTTGAGCTCAAAGCAAAATAAACATGCGTTTTTGTGTGTGTGAAGAGGAGGGGCTGAAGACAAGAAAATTATGTATATAAACACTAAATTTTACATAAATAATTGAGATGAAAGAACCTCTCCTGCAGGAGAAGAGGAAAGGGTTAGGATGCAGTGAAGCATGTTTCTCGTTTTGATGGAGCATTCTTCATTGATTTCATTTTACCTGCTGGTGAATCTCAAGATATGAGCTGTGTTCATAGTAAACAGGTTTAGCTAAAGAGTTCTAGGACTAATGGGAACACGTCCTCTCTCTTGTCAGAGAAACTCTAGAGCTTCTCAGCTGTTGATTTCAAGCCTCTAATGCTCATCCTGTGATGACAGTTAGGCTGGGTGTTGTTCCAAGGCAGTGCCTTTGCTCTGAGCAGTAAAAATAAAGGTGTTGTCACTACAGCTGGACCTCTCCAGAGCAGAGCTTCTCCAGAGGTCTGGTATAAGAACTCTACTCCTCAGTTCTCAAGTAATCTTAGCATGTTTTACTATGGAAGCATATAACTGGCTAATAAGGTAGGATTAGCTTGAGTACTCCTTCCTGAGGAGGGGGAAGGGTAGGATTAGCTTGAGTACTTCTTGGGAGAAGGGGTAGAAATCCTTCTCATCTTCTCCTGATGAAGTTAGCTTGCCTTAAAAGGCTGTGTTTTAACTCAAAATTCTCCTGTAACTTCCAATCCATTTTGGACAGCCTTGTTTTTCTTTGCTTGTGGATCTGAGAGCATGCAAGCCTAAAGACTTGTATGCTACAGGCTGAGGAACGAGCATAGGTATGCTTAAGGATTGAAACTCCTGTGTAGATAGGTAAAACTGAGATACAGATTCAAGCAAAACAAGGTAATTATGACATTATGTATTCTAGCTGGTTGTGAAGTCTTGTCTGGCACTAGTAACTTGAAAACATGCCTTTGTGTCTGATAAGTCCTCAGATCAGCTTCCATCAGGTGATTATAGGACCTTCCCAGGAGGAAGGTGAGGCAGTACGTGACTGACTGGAAGGCCAAAGCAGAAGCCAAAACAAATCTCACCTAGCTGTGAAGGAAACTTTCTAGAGTGGTCCTCCACCATGTCTATTTAAAGAGTTACTATGGTCATGTTCAAATCAAATGGTTCTTGATGCCTGGTCAGGCTTCTAAACTTCCCTGAATGTCCTGAGAACTTGGTCAAGTCTAAAGCTGTCATTTCTGTCAATATAAACTCACTAGTGTTTGCCTTTGGGGGTGGAGAATCAAGTGATGAGAAAGATGTAAGCGCTAAATGAGCGTCAGGTGACTCCTCAGAGTAGAGGCTTGATTAGGAAGGCTCAGGGTGAAGTGGAGCCAATGACAGGTGTTCTGAGTCTTAAATAGACAAGTTAGCTCTGATAAGGAGGACCTAACAGTGTCTATGTGTAGTCTCACTCCAGATAGTAAGACCAGCAGAATGACAAGCGCTACTCTGCTAGTCTTGTGACTCATGATAACACTTCTCATCTATTGTGGTCTTACTTCAAACAAAGCTGTTGGCTGAGCACCAGCAGTTGTACACAGCACACTATCAGTTAGAAGGATGGGCCAGATGCCAAAAATCTGGCATCAGTTTCCTTCTGTGAAGGTAGAGATGGTTATCCACTCTAACAGGTGCCTTGTGTGAATTTTTTAGTATCTCTATACATCTGCAGTGCACTTCCTACTTTCTCAGTTAGAAGAGTAGTGCTTGTTTGAAGTACCTAGATAACCCAATTATTGGAGCCAATTGACCAATGGATGCTGTGGTTATACTTCTTACGTAAAGCTTTTACTTCATGGTCAATTATGGTAAGAAGCATTCTAAATGGATGAGTATGATATTAAATGCAGAGGATGGCAAAAACCTCTTAGGTTTGGTCTTTGTGGAAAAAGCAATTAAAGATACTTGGTCTCAGGGTGGGGAGAATCATGGGTTGGTGTTTGGCCAGGATGTTCAGAATTAAAACTGCAGCCTGAGATGTGTAGTAAATAGTGCATAATATAGCACAGTCATTGTGCACTGTTGCCAGGCCTGCAGACTTTTTTTTGTTTTTTCCTATTGGTGCTGTTATCACATGGTAGATGTCATACTACTGGGACCGCTGTGTGGCCAGTAACCTAACTGCTAGGTTAACCTGGTTCTTGGGAATACTTATGAATTATATTCAGCATGGCTAGCTGTGTAAGCACTTCAAAAACATAGAATTGCTCTTACAACTAAGGGATTAAATTCAGCATCCAGAGAAAGCCAGCTTGTTTTGGGAACAGTACTAACAGAGCAATCCTGCCTGCTTTCTAGGTTTCCTCAAAAGAAATAATGAGGAAATAGCAAAAGAATCAAGGCCCTCCCTCCCTAGGGAGGAATACTAAGAGGTCTTAAGCTTCTGCTGTGCAACACAATTGGGCAGTAAGCTACTACTCTCTGCCTTAGGGATGATGGACTCTACAGAAATGTGACTTGGAGTTGTTAAAGGGATCAGGTAGAATATGTTGTCTAAGTTCCAGTAAGTGGCAAAACAAACCAACTTCAGGAAACTGGTTTTGAGGCTGTGCCTGAGTTCATCCAGTTTCTTTATGACCCTTAGACCCTTGAAGTATAGCTCACTAGTGGCAGGTCTGGTCAATAAACAAGATGTACCAGTTCAAACTAGATTAGCTTGTTCATACAAGCTGGCCAGCTGAGTGCTGAACAAAGCATCTTCTCCTGTCCAACTCTTGTCAGCCCAGGTCGATGGGGGGGCATAGAGCATTCCAGTTTCTGCTTTACTGAAGGGATGTGCCTTGCGTGTGCTATGGCATGCTTGAGGGTTAAGTTCCTCAGCTGCAATGCCCTCCAGGCTTTCTTAAGCTTCTAATAAAGCACTGTAGCTGGTACATGTCACCTTAAATCACAAAGCTTTCCCAACACTCTGGGGCCAGTTAAGGACAGTGTGTTGGCCTTGGAGCTGAATTTCCTGCCTCTCTGCCAGTTCATGTTGCATCCTTAAGCAATGAGATGAAAAGAAGTGAAATATTTGATGAGGATTATCTCTCGAAGAGAACCACTAGGTCAGAGAGACAGGATACCAGACCTTTACCCTGCTTTCAGGAGGCTTTGTGACAATATCAACTGGCAACTTGCTCCTCCAGCAGAATATACTGAACTCTCAATGCCCATGCATCACATGACTGCAAGTCTCCTCCTGCAAGAAGTCTATAATATACCTCTCCTGTAGCTGAAACACATAGAGATGAGGCTTTCTCCCTGGGGAGGGACAGGATAAGTAGGGAACACTAAGGATGTAACATTAATATTGCAAGCTACAGATCTAGCTTGCAGAGTAACTTCTGTGCTCCCAATAAACGGGGCTATTTGCCCTTTAAAGGGGGTACAAAGATTGCTGTGTAAGTAGGAAGTAGTTTTCTAGCGCTTTGAATGACAGATCTATCTGCAAACATGTAGCCTGGCCTGTGAAAGGTGAACTCTAAAGCAGGATGAAAGGCTGACACCTGGTCTTCTCTTTGCACCCTTCTGATGGGTTAGGACACCTCATAATCTAACATGAAGATCTTCATTCAGATGAAGAGTTGGAACGTTAGGGGAAGCGTTTTCAGGATTAATTCAGAGTCTGAATTTAGAAGCAATAATGTAAGCTTCCTGTAGTGCAAATCAGAAAGGCATGTGTAAGTACCACTACCTACAGGTAAACCTACTGCAAAATAGTGATTTTTTTGCAGTAGAAATCTGACTGAGGTCAATAGGACAGCTACTGAACAAGCTGCTGTGTAGTTTTGAAAACTGTATGTTTAGATTTTTTTTTTTAACCTCTACTCTGTAGGTCTTTCTGTACCTCCTGCTTAGATTTGCCTCTTAGTTCTCTTGTGTATGCAGCAAGACAGGCAATGGGTAACTAAGACCCTTGTAATGACTAATCTTGAAGGCAAGAGTAACCCTTGTAACAAGCAGTGTGCTTCATACTACCAGACTGAGGACTGAATCTGCTGTAGAATTTATCTTTATAAAGCACAAATAGACTCATCAGTCTTCCAGTGATGTACCAGGAACATAACTCACATCTGCTGCATGAGTCAATCCTCGTTCTCTTGTGACCAAGGACTGCTACAACAGCTCGCGTAACCAAAAGTTAGCAGCAGCTGGGGGCTGGGTGGAAGTTTTCAAATATCACCGAAATGAATGCTTAAGGCCAGGTTTCTGGCTATTCATGGGATCATCAGGCTGGTTAAGCACTTTCTGAATAAACAGATAGCAGTATCTGACCCTATGGAAATGACTGTGATCTTAAGCTGGGTGAACTGAAGAATACAAGAAAATCCTGTTTCTCATGCAGATACACTTGTGAACAGGTGGAGAGGGCACTTAAAATTCAGCATAAACTATGCAGAACATGTACAATCTCTCCTAGTACAGTTTGCACACACCCAAACAGCAAAGAAGACTAACTCTGCCAGCACTGGACAGTTGACAGCATGCAGCTGAAATAACCTATGATAACAGCTTCAATATGTGTCAAGTTTCTGCTCTGAGGAAAGGGAGTTAAAAAGCACAGCTATTAGCACAGTAAAGGACTCTTGCCAACTAGTAAGAAGATCAGAAACAGTCTTCCTAGGCAGGAAAGAATTAGGAGTACAGTTGGAAGTGA